GACAGGCCCCTCCCACGATAGTTTGATTGACAGTAGCGTTTCAGCACAGACTGGACTGGTGTCTTACCTTAGCTCCGCCCTGAGTGAGCTGTCATCAGTCCGCCATTGTTTCACCGCCGGAGCAGATGTAGACAAGAATGACTCCTAACAAGCGACTGAGGTGTTGTTGGATGTAATAATGAACATAGCAGTTGTCATTTACTCCTGACATCTGAGCCGCTGAACTCGCAGTGGATTACATTTGCTTCTGAAGGTCATAATCCCCCGATCTACATAAATGCGTCTATGTTCGCGCGAATCATTCATGATCCAGCCTCATCTACAGAAGTGAGTATAATGTTTTGTAATAAATCTTTGCAAATAGTCTTTCCTAATTATGTGCTAATTAGCAAGTTTCACGATGAATGCGCCTGAAGTAAACCGTCTCTCTGAGAGCAGCTCGGAAGAGAGGGGCGGAGTCAGCAGAGCTCATTAACATTTAAAGGAAAATGCTACAAAAACGGCTTGATCTGAAAAGAGCTGTTTTTAACAGGGTAAAAAAGGTGTTTTTTACACTACCATTGAGAAATTTTAACCAAACTATGTTACAGACTTTTCATTAAGACCCTAAAGAATCATATCAACTTGTGGAAAGTGGGCATCCTATGACCCCTTTAAGGGGTTTAAGTAATTTAAACTTAGTGGGACAGAAAACAAATGCTAAATTCAAATCAAATATGAATCAACTTAGTTAAAACCGTTTATGGTATTAATAGGATACATATTAACACTTAATTGTTGGATTTTAGACATCAGCTTTTACTTAAAGCAAAACCATGATTTTTTTTACTTTAATTTTTGTAATTTTGTTTTCTAAATGTGTTTATATTTATTAAATATAGTTTTTCAATTTACTTTTTTAGTTTAGGCTACTAGTTTTCATTATTTTAGTAGGTCAAGTTAAACTAAATTAAAAATTTTGCCTTGCCAATAGCTGAAATAAAAATATTTAGCCAGTTATGTTATTTCAAATAAATGTTTTATGGTTTCATTTTTAGTTAACATTGTTGAGAACCACTGCACTAATAAAGTGTCAGAGCGCGCCACCTGCTGGCCAATAGAAAGAACTGCAGCAGAACGCTGCCATTTTAGAACCAAAACAAACTTTAATTGGCTCCTTTTGAAGACTTCTATATTACAAGAGCATATCAGCACATGATAAATGAAATCTCTCAGATTTCTTTAACAACAATTGAGCTGAGCTATCTGTTACAAGAAATGAAATGAAAGGAATCTTGATCCATCTTTAATCCATGTTTAACAGATTGTGTCCTGGGGACCGTCAGAATACATAAAACAGGACCATGACACATGGAATAAGCATCTTATTTAGGAATGGCAATAAAAAAAAACTATATAGTAAGGAATGTGCATGGTTGGAATGGGAAAGGGGAGTAAGAAACAATTAAACTTGGCCACAATCAGCAATCATGACCTTGGCAGAGCATTTCCCGCTGCTGCTTCCTTTAGCCTCCATTGCATCCACTACGCTCAATCCTTCTACCACTTTCCCGAACACAACGTGTTTGCCATCGAGCCTGTTCATGGAGAAACAACAAGCAGCTTTAGCACTAACATCAAATGGAAATTTTTATATTCTAAAGAACTTTTAGTGCAATGGAAAGGTTCCAAAGATGTTGAAGGTTCTTATTTTTAAGAGTGTACGCAAACATTAATCTCAAAGAAGCCGTTTACCAAGTAGTATCAGCGGTGCAGATGAAGAACTGGGAGCCGTTGGTGTTCGGTCCGGCGTTGGCCATGGACAGGGTTCCCTTCCCTCCATGCTTCAGGGTGAAGTTCTCATCTGCAAACTTGTTGCCGTAGATGGACTTTCCACCGGTTCCATTATGGTTGGTGAAGTCGCCACCCTACATCACGAGAGCACGACATCAGTTTGAGCTGAAATCATTGCGTCCGATGACAGGACGGGGTTCAGATCTTACCTGGCACATGAATTTGGGGATGACACGATGAAAGCCAGAGCCCTTGTAGCCAAAACCCTTCTCACCAGTGCACAAAGCACGGAAGTTCTCTGTGTAGATATGGAGACATTAATGCAGGAGAAGACAGTGTCTACATTTATTTATAAGAAACACATTTAATGTGGAAAAAGATACTTACCAGCAGTCTTGGGTACAACATCAGCTCTCAGCTGTTTCAAAAGGAGGGGAAAAACAAGAAATTGACATTAAGCTTAGAACATGTGTGAATGTCAAAGGATTTATATTGTCAGATATTTTAAGTTAATTAACTGTAAAGTAATTGGCCATTTTAAGATCAGATTATATATATATATATATATTAGTGCCGTCAAACGATTAATCGCATCCAAAATAAAAGTTTTTGTGTACATTGTGTGTACTGTGTATATTTATTATATATATATATACATATATATATATA